AGCCGAATGTAATGGGAAGCGCAACCCAGCCTTGATGGCCGCCTCGTAGCAGCCAAAGCAGGCGCTATCATAACTGGTACCAGCCGGCCAGACGACTGTGTCTTCTGGATCCGGCACGAACACTAAAAAGCCGGGCCCATTGTGTGGTTTGCGATAAAGCTCTCCACTTTCTCTTGCATGGCTGAGATCCGACCCCGAGGTACCGTGCAGTAGTAGGCGGTATTTTTCTCTCGGTAAGAGGCGGATGGCTCCGCCCAATTGTCCCCCTTCTCAACTGCGTGAGAAAGCCTCGCCTCTTGCAGGCGACTGTTTTTCTCTTCTGTGTCCAGAGAAGCATGGCCAGAAGAGCTAGACTCGGAATCGTCCTCTGACGAGTCCAAAGAGGACGACTCCTCCCCTCTCCCGGAGGGGCCCGCCTCCTCTCCTTTAAAAGGAGCAGGAGAGAATGAAGAATTGTCAACTGAGAAATGGGAAGGGGTCACTTTGATTCCTCCCTCAGAACAGCCGGCTTTCAAGCCGCTTTGTTTCACTTCCACATCTGGCGCCTGGTCAGATGTTTCACTAATCGGCACCCTACGGGAGGAGCCGTCTGAATTTGAGATCCTGGCAGTCTTTTTTGTTCTGGCCATCATGCTCTGCATAGACACAGATACAGTCGGACTTTGTATAAAGGGCAAAGATGGGTCCGGAAAAGGGCAGGCGGCACTCCTAGTCCTAGATTCAGCCGTCCCCGGTGACCGACTGATCACTAACCTAGGTCGTGTCGTGTGCTTCCGTGGTGCCATTTCAAAAAAGAATAAAATAAAGACAATTAAGAGTAAGAGAACCGACGGTTACCTGAACGAGTGACGTTGATGGAGTTCTGAAAATCTTGTGCAGTCGGCTTGTCAGAGCAGGCGGTAGGCAGAAAGGGTCCAAAATGTCAGAGCAAGTTCAGGGGTCCGAATGTTCTCTCACAAAGTTCTCAAGTGTGAATGACTGAAGTCAACACTCCCTTATATATAGGCGAAGTGGGAAGGCAAAGGGTCACTTCCAGAATTCAAAATTTGGGCGGGAGAATCTCTCGGCCTTTCGCCGAGTGACACCTGTAGCAGGCCGTCGCCTGTTACAGTGCGGCACCTGTCACAGGTAACACGTGACCAGTCACGTGCCACCTGTGAGGGGCAAATGATTAGGGGATTTTGCTCCCACCAATCGGAATGCGCCACGTGGGCCAATCAGGTCCTGCCAAGTGTCCCCCAGTTGGAACTGTCAGGGCTTGCCACGTGGCACGCGCTTATTCGTCCACCTTTGACCTATTATGTCATGACACGTGGCATACTCCATGCCTAATGGAGAAACCGGCCACCCAGGCCCAACTTCCGAGGGAAGCCCAATCAGCCCTAGGTTAACCTAAACCTAGGAGTGACACGTTTCCCAAGGTTATAAATACCTCCCTTAATCCTCATTAAGGGGGATTACAGAGATTACGGAGATAACAGGCTGATCACGCTAACAAAGCAGATTACCTACATTAAACACTCTCACCTAGAGAGACCCAATCACTTTAATTTCCGCATTAATTACTCCTTAATCAAGTACTAACTTGACCGTTGGAGGCGGAGCTCCCACCACCAGGAGTCTCCGTTGTTTTGCAGGTACAGGCGTCCGGTTCCAGTCTCGGAATTGTAACTCTCCCGCAGGACATCAGAAAACCCCGAAACAGGTAGTATGAGTTTGTAAGGAGTAACCTGCCGTTCTTATATCAACAAGTCTATCCTTCATCACATCCTCCTACCAAGTTACTAGCACACCACATTTTTCACATTTTTTTTATCGTGTTACTTTTATTTACTGATTAATTCAATGACTCTCTTCAATCGTTTTCTAAAAACTAATTCGTAAGTTTCAACTTTCAAAGCTTATCAAAGCTAATTAAGTCTAATCATGTCAAATAAGTTCAGATTAACAAGTTGGATTAGTGATTGTGTTAAGTGTGTTAAATAAGGCCTAGTTCTTGGGTTTCAAATTTTGTACTACACTAAACTTGCTTGTTTTAAACTCATAGATGAAGCTGAAGCTCAAGCTGCACGGCCGAAGGAATGCCTGGTTAATTTTTTTTTGATGCAAAGGAGGGCCATGCCCAAAACAAATAAAATTAAGAAACAAAGCGAGGAGTAGTAACTCCTAAACAGTCCTCCCTAAGAGTCTCACGTATTTCGATTGAGGGGTCATCAAAATACATGGTTCCCTTAGCACGGACTATTCCTACATTAGCCAATCTATCGGCTACTTTATTTCCCTCCCTATAACAATGAAAAATACTAATATTACTACCAAAGGAGCTGATGATGTTTCTGCAAACATTCAGCAAGTGGACACATTCTCCACCTAGAAGTTGGTCATTTAGAAGCGCTTCGGTGCAAGCTTTGTTGTCCATTTGAATAGTTAGCTTGGTAATGCCTTGTTGTTGTGCTAGTCGAAGTCCCAACTCAAGAGCTAATACCTCGGCTTTGTAGGGATTGCAGCGACCGAAATTTGCAGCAAATCCCTTAATGAAATGGCCCCTGCAGTCCCTTAGAACCCCCCCCTCCACCAGCTAGGCCAGGGGATCCGCGTGCTGCACCATCAGTATTCAAAGCAATCCATCCTATGGGAGGGGCAGTCCAGCAAACAAAAATCTCCTTTTTGGTAGTCCTATGTGTATGAAGTACATCAGTTTCAGCTTCTCCCATAAATGCCTTCCAGGTTTCTTCAATTTTGGCTCTTAAATACCCACCTGTGTCAATTGGTATCTCAGCATTTCTACCAAAAGTTGCAAAGTTTCGCCATTTCCATATCCACCATAAGGATACAGCAAAAGTGGTCGGCCATTTTTCAGAAAAAATTAAGCCCTCGGCTTTGAGGTTGCGAGTTATCCAGCTTTGTAAATCCCCTTGAAAAAAGGATGGATAAAAGGCAGTTCCTCCAACACTTATGTAAACCTGGTTAATTAGTTTTGTATGTTAGATTCAACTTCTTATGTTTGTCCTTCCAATTAAAACCATTTCATCTTGTTAAAATACATTTTTCTGCAGTTCGACTTTGGCTAAGCTTATTACAAACGTCGACTTCATTAAACTGCTCAAAACAGGTAATAAAAGACAACATCAAATTACTGATGCTAAAGACATGAAATTTCACCTCAAATAGCCATTAGACTCATAGAATTGAATATTTCTAGACAATAACATGACAATCAGAGTTGCATTTGCAAAGAAGTGGGCTGTCAATCATACTTCCAGTCGTCAAATTATTTGCAGTTGAAGTTAAAATCCTAACCTTTATGTCATCACACGAGAGATTGATCCCGCAATTCACAAAAGCACCTCTACGCCAACGTACAAAACGGCCTTTGCCTTTCAGAGCAAACTGCAGAACATTCTGGTCTGACAAATCCCGAGAGATTGAATCCACAGTCCTGTTCTGAAGGCGTGCATCATCATCCTTGATCTGCATTCCAAATTGCAGTTGGTGTTGATCCTCCACAAGAAGATAAGGTTCAAGCATAGTCGATATTCGAGATTTGTATTGTTAATCAACTAAATCAAATCAATTTCTTTCTTATTTACCTCATAGACTTTACATTCATTTTTCCCATACAACTCGTACCGACTACTGTAATGTTAAGCATGATCCTCATAACATGAAGATAATTTCTTGTTAGGTACTCTAATGACAGTTAAACTCAAAATTTAGTCATTGAAAAATTAATTATTATGTCTCAACAAAACTATTACTTTGAATATGTTGTTCATATGAAGGAATACAAAAAATGATCCTTATTAACTATAATAAGGATTAGACAGTGCAAAATTCTCCAGTAAATTAGAAGTTCCATAATTTAACTTACACAAAGAATTTAAACTAACAATTGCAGGGAGAAGAGGTCTAATTTCATAGTTCAATCCTAACAATTAAGGGTTCTACAATACATTAGCAATCAAATTTGATTCAATTACCAAATAAGGCTCGAAAAATCTCATAATTTGAGAAATATTTGATTCAATTATCAAATTAGGCTCATAATTTTCTTTTCTAGCAACAAAATTGCTGGTTAATCTTAGTAATTAGAACCAATAATTCAGATTTTCGAACCCTACACTTAATTAAATTAAATAAGATCATATATAAAATTGAAACCATATATTGTGAAATTGATATGATGATTATAAAAAGAAACATCAACTACCTTAGAAGGATACAAATATTAGAAGGCGCCTCAATGGAGAACGTGAAGTGTGCTTCAATTAATGGAAAACGTTGAGAGAAAGGGGAGTAGGAGGACTAAAGGAGGGGCCAATTGACCGTATTGGTAAAAAAAATAATAAACGACAATTTGGTAAAAAAATAAATAAAAATTCCGACAACATAAAATAACCCTAAGCTAATAGCTCAAGTGGTTGAGAAAATACTTTTCTCCTGGTTTTAAGAGATCTTAGGATCGATTCTCATTACCGGCTCTTGTGGCTCTCTAAAATAAAAAATATTTCGTTTCTTTTTATTTGTAAAATGAAGGTAGTAAACAATTCCAATAAACTACCCACAAATGCCTAATTTAATTCGTGTTACAATTCGCTCTCTTCAATTTATTTATTTATTTTGTTTTAAATTTTAAATTACTTCATAAGTTGCAACTTTCACCGCCATCAATATGGTTTATTTTGTTGCAAGCAAGATTATCAAGTTGGATCTCAATCCGGACCCTTAAAGGCTAAAATAACCCCTAAAATCTAAACAAAATATTTTTTGACACGTAAATCGATAAAAAAGGTTGAATCGGGCTGCAATTTACAATTTATAAGAACTTTTGGGTTGTAATTTGCATTTTTTTTAAGGGTAATGCTATATGTAGCCCTAAGAGCTATATATAAGCATTAAATACACCTTTGGAAATTGTATAAAATTAGGAATTCATGACAAAAATGCGCGTAAATCAGTGTAATTAGTGTTTATATTTTTATGATTTCTTAACTTTTTACGATTTTCAAGTGTAAAAATTTAATGCTTACATGTAGTCATAAGGGCTATGTATAACATTTTCTTTCTTTTTTTGGTTGCAATTTGCTAAACACAAACCGCAATTTGCAAATTACAAATAAATAAATAAATAAATAAAAATAAAAATGGAAATAAAAGATTATTAAGTTGGATTGTTGATATGGTGACTCAAGTGTGTGTTAAATAGGGCCCGTAATCTTGTACTCCGTATAAATATTGGGTTGGGCTTCAAATTTATTTGATCGATTCAAATTTCCCCGCCTTCTTCTTCCCCAAACCAAACAAACTACTTTCTCTCTCCTCTTTCTCTCTCCTCATTCTCTGCTTTGAAGCTCGTCAACAATGGAGGAATCGTCGGAGCAAGCAATCGTGCCTTTATCGCATCAAACGAATTCTCTTCCTGAGCTCGAATCTCACTTCTCCACCGTCCTTTACGGTTTTTCTCTCTTTTCATCTTCGCTCTTTGTTTGAATTTCAGTTTGAGTTCTTACAATTGATTATCGATTTCCAGATCAATTAAAATTAGGTTATATTTGCATTTCGTTGTTGTGATTTGTTGTTGTGTAATTGATTGATTACATTTTGGAGAATTGCGTAAGATTTTCGCTGATAATGTGTTTGAATTTCAAGCATAACGTGTCAAATTTAGTTTCGCTTTGAATTTGTTGATTCGCCACATTATTTTGATGAAAATTTAGGTTAAATTATCGAATTAGCTTTAATCTCTGTCTCTCTCAGCTGCAATTTGAGCAATGTTTACTGTTTTGATGTGTTTCGATTAACCTGATCAATGTTTTGCTTGAAGTTTCGAATTTATATCTGTAACTTCGTTGAATGTTTTTGATTTCACTGTATAATATTTATTATCATCAAACTTTTAAATTGTTTATCATGTATTTATTACGCTGATGCTTGATTTCTGATATTCAATCTTTTGTTTAACTCTGTAATCGATGATCATAAAGTTTTGATGAATTTTCTTTTTCCTTAAACATCGAAATTGCATACTGCTGTTTTCCGCAATTTTGTCTCTGTTTGAGCAGTTGAGCTAGTCAATTGATACTGATTTATTTGAATAATATCCGGTTTAAAGTATTATATGTTGCTGAATGTAATTGATTTCATGCTAGCAACCTACTTAATCGAGTTAGATTTGAATTTTTATAGGATTTAAAGGATGAATCTGAATCTAAATGAACACAATGAGAAAAAGTTCTGCGGACGAATTATTCAACTGAATGTCATATTGTCATGTATCATATAATTGCTCTCGTAGTTATTTATAATTGTCTGAAATTCTGAGGCAAGCTGTTTTACGGATGTTAAGGGAGTTGCAAAGGTCTAAATCAACTTTATATTTATGGATGCAGATCTTTCGCAGCAAGTACAAGGAGCAATGGAAGATCTGCTTAAGATGATCAAGTGAATTCGCAATCTTTAGTAATCGAAATTTAAGCTGCTGGACAAAAAACAATACTCAATTTGCTAAATATTTCTTTGTTATCAGCATATGAAATTCAGTGCTTGCTGTGAATAATCACACAACCATATTAATATATTCGAATACTTATATTTGATAATTGTGCAGTGAAATTGATGGACACTCTGCGGAAGTAACTGAAGAAATGGAAAGGTGCAGACAGTCTGCTCTTGAGAGGAGGAAGGCCATTGAGGAAGAAAAGGAATGTTTTCAGAAAGCTGCTTTTGCTGTTCTGGACGTGCTGAATACCGGAGAGGGCAAGCAAGATGATCAGTAAGATCTTATTGACCTTTATCTGTTTATTCTATATGATCATTCTTATTTCATAAATCAGATAACTTACTATCTCTCAAGTAATTCATCTGAAAGATTTATTTTAAGATTTGTGCTGTATATTTTTCGGTTAGTATCAGTAATTCTCATATATAACATCTCCTGCCTTCAAGGGCTTGATGTTTTATGTTGTTTTTGCGCTTTCTAGTTTCTCTATCAGAAAGTGATGCATTGTTTGATATAATTTGCAACAGGATGTTCCTGGAAAATGGTAGAGAGTACTGAAGAGAGTTCATCTCAAGTAAATACTTGCAGAATTATATAAATGTAGCAGTAAATGTCTAAATGATCAGTGCAGTTGCTGAAGATTCGAAATTTTCAGGTTTGATTAGATCGTACTTGGCATTTTTATCCTTAAAAAGATGCTAAAATCCTACAAATAAGTTTGTATAAAAATCACAAAGTACTCCGTATATGATTTCTGGTTTGATCTTTACTGCATATATTACAAGTGTTGTAATTTCTGCCAACATCTTGTCAATTTATATAAACCCGCAAGAAAATTTGCCGTGATCAGTAGGAATTTTCCCCTGATCAATCAAGCAAATCAAAGTTACAAGTCTACAATATCTTATTTTTCCTTTTCTTGTTTCCATTAAACACAGAACTTTCAAATTAGTATTGCTATAGAATAATCATTTGTTCATACTAATCCCTCATTGTATGTTATTCGAAGATCAATAAACCAATACATATTTGTGCCATGAAATAAGATATGTAACACTACACAGTAAATTTCATTTGATCAATGCCTTTCTCTTTCGACAGTATATATGTTCCTGCTTGTTCTTGACCGCAAATGTAATCTAGGAGTTGTCAAAACTTGTTACAACCTAAAATTCTTACAAGGTAAACCATCTCACCATGTATATTAAAACCTTTTCTTTTTCTAAACTGTACTCTAAATATATCAACATAAGCCTTGACAACTACAAAATGGCAAAGTATGACTAACACTTTGTTTGGATAAGAAGAAATGAAAGGAAAAGAAGAGAAGAGAAGAGAAATAGAGGGGGACAAAATCTCTTGTTTGGGTAAAAGATTGGGGGAAGGAAGGGGAAGGAGAGGGAGGGATCTATTTTCCTCTCTCTATAATAACCATAATCTCTCCAAAATTGGAGAGATTTGAAGGGAAAATGGAGCTCACCTCCCCCTCCCTTTCTTTTCCCTTCCCTTCCTCCATTCTCCTTCCCCTTCTTTTCTTTCCTTCTTTGCTATCCAAACAAACCGTAAGGCAAATTATGTACAAACTCGGAAAGTTATATATACAAGCTCAGGGTACAGGCCGCAAGGAAGTCTGCTGTATAACTATAATCCTATATTTTCTTTTACCATGTAGAAGTTACACTTGTGGCGTTTACGCCTCAACAGCACCAAACTCAATGCACATTCTTCTATTGCTTGAAGCAGCAAGCTGCCATTTCAACAATTAGGTGCCGCATGAACCACCAAGAGTTAACAGACATGCAAAACTGTCAGAAAACAAAGCTCTCAAAATCGGCATTTGGTTAAGACGAGTAGAGAACTGGAGTTTGTTGATCTAAGCGTTGTTTTATAGATGAATCACCCCAAAAGAAGCATCATGCTTATGCAGCGACTCACATCACCACTTTCTCTTATGAGTGCAACTTAAAGTAGAAATCAACAAAAATAATTTCAAGCCGAGTGCTATCTCCAATTATTGTAATCACGTCGATAAAGAATTACATATATTGAGCCAACCATTGTTTGCACAAGTCAAGAACTGGGAGTGCATTCGCATGCAGAGCCTGCCCAATACACAAAACAAACTTTAACTTATATCAAACCAGACCAGTCCATATCAACAATCACATGAAAAAAATCATATTCTTTGACAGTAAGCTGTAAACTACATTAGAGCTGTCATCCTTGACACTTTTAGTTAGGCTGCTATGGAAAAGGATATGCAATATTGTCATGAACAGTGAAGTCTAACAACAAGTTTTACAGTAATTTGATGAGAGCAATTCGCCTGACCTGACCTTTCAATCAACATGGTAAATGTTTTTATTTGATAAAAACGTCATGGATCTATAACTGTAGACTAACTCAACAACATACATGAGCCTACATAGATCAATTTTTTTTTTTTTTTTTTTTTTCCCAAAAGTAGTTGAATGATGTGGGCATGTGGCTTTATTGTACATAAAAAATGGAATGAAAGCTTGCCCAAATTCGATTCAACTATAGAGGACATGAACCAGGGATCAAAGAGAATCAAACCTGATGTGCCACATATTGAACATCAGCCACACTGCCACTTCTGGAGGCAATTTGGAAAGCACCTTTTAGACGACCACAGACAACACAAGCCAACACCTTCCTGCACATACACAAATACCATGTTTTTAAAATCCAGATTACTTTAACCCATATAATATTCTAGATATTTGTGTATGAGAATAGGATTATAAACAGACGAAAAAAAAGGTTCCATTAAAAGTGGAGGGAAAACTACACTTATTCTAAACCATAAAATTCTTATTGAAAAAGGGGATCTGGAATTCGACCAGAGAGGGATGCTGCAAAAGCTTTTCATTGTGAGGGTCCAAACAACTGTTTACCATTCTTGTACTCAAAGAAACGTCTGCTTCAAGCAATATATTACACTAAGGCAACACCATAGGCGCGAAATAGTTGAGAGCCAAAGAAAGGATACTGAAACTCTTTAATTGCAAATTCTGCCTTTTAATCTAGATTGACTCAGGATATTCAGAAAATTGTTTACTATGACTCAACAGAAAATCCCTTGTTGTACTTACTTCCCAGTTGCTGTCTCCTTTTCATACCAGGAATAGTCTTTCAGTCTCAAATCCCTCCCACCCTTTTTAGCACCTTCTAATTCAGGTAAGCATTTTTTTTACCAGGGTTCTTGCGTCAAATCACTCAAGAATAGGGTTAGGCTGTGTGAAAACATGGTATACATAATGGAATTTGTCTATGTTCAACAGAATTGTTAGCTATATAGGCATGTGCTTGAATTAGCCATCTCACCTGCTTGATAGCCATATTGCTAAGTAGCTTAATTGTACCAGCCAGTAGACAAAAATTACTAAACAACTGCTTTACTAAAAAGAACCACGGCCGCAGTCTATACACCTTTAATACACAAGTACATGAAATGTAACATACATGAAGTTTATAGTTCATTACCTGTGGGTACTGATTAACATGTCTATGAGACGATCTGGGCGCTCCTTGTGTTTGTTTGCATATACATTTATGGCAGCCCCCAAAACCTAGAGCATCATAAAGTTAAAGACAATTAAAGCCAGAGATCAATGCAATTGTAGGAATCTTGATAAAATCCCAAGAGAGTAAAATATGTCCTGGATTATTAGGCAACATGCTTAGAACTAAAAGGTAATATAAACACATTAGAGCAAGTTGATGATTAGGCAGTAATATAACACATCTCACATTTTGAAGGAAATGATGATAGGTTCCTTTATAATTTGACAGCTTGACAAGCAATAAGGTGACAGGTCAAACCACTGTCTAATTCAAACTGGAGGTTAGTTTGACTTGCACTTTTATTCTAGGGGGATGATAAGTTCAAGCACAGTTAAACTGTTAAAGAAACCAATCAAGGAAATTACAAAAATATGCTCAATATTATTTCTAAGGACAACTGTTTTCATTTAATCATTAAAAAAAAAAAAAAAGAAAACCAAGGGCTTTGATTTAGCTTTCTAATTCGGGTTTTAGCCAAAATTAACCATCTTCCTCACTAAATTATGCAGATATGTTGTTTTAGCTCGAATTATCGTCTATGACCTCCTAACTCCTAAAGCTAAAGAGAGAAAAACACATCAAATTCTGAGCCAGATATTTTCTTAGTTCTTCTCATCCCTTCTTGTGGCACTCATCTTCGACAATAGTATTTAAATTGAGGCTAATCTAATACTGTGAAAAGTAAACCATGTTCAGTGTAGTAACAAAATACAGTTACAATGATCTGATAAATAATTATGCTAGAAGAACTTAATATCCACTTGATTACGTTGTTGATACCAATGCCAATGTTAAGAAAAGAAAAAGAAATACCTCATCCCATTCATCATCATATATATTTCCCTTAATGTTCCTTAAAAATTCAGTCAACAGGTTCCCCTTTTTCCTTTCAGCAAGCGATGCAGCAACCGCAGCATAAATATCCACAGCTGTAGATATTGAGTTAGAGCCACAATATGTATGCTTAAGAAAGATGACATCAATAAAAACAAGTAATAAATAGGCTACCAGGAAGATCAAATTGACAGACAACTTGGTAAGCCAAGTCAAAGTTCTTCTCTGCAAGAGTTTCTGCAATTTGACACCTCCTCCTGCAAAAGCATTAACACAATGGCCAGAAATAGAAATGAGATATAGGCCCTCACAAGGCGTATAAATGAAGTTGATTACATAGCAGGAGGGAGTAAATTCCAGATAAATTATGATTTGTTTTCTACACTTAATAAATGGACACTGCTAATCTGTACCACCAAGAAGTATCAGATACCTGAACGTTTCAGGATCATTTGGATTTCCAAAGACAGAATGTTTCCACTGTGGACCTTCGGTTTCATTCAGGCATTTCACAACTTCAACCTATGATGGTAGAAAAAACACTAGAAGCGCATTAGTTTTCAAAACCATCTATTTACCAGCATCACAGAAAACACATCAGAGAAAGACAGGAATAATAGATGTGCTAGAAAAACACAATAAGCAGGATTGAACGGGGGCTAGGGATTGAGTCCATCCAACATCCATCACTCATAGTCATACAACTTTTTTGTTATACAAATTTAAGAATGTACTGTAACCTACACCAATAACAAAAAGATTAATTTACATTATACTATTCTAGTATCATAGGGTTTTTTAGAATTGGGGGAAATCGACAATCAGGTACGTATTATACTAATTTGGTTTTTTATTTTATTATTATTATTATTATTATTATTATTATTATTATTATTATTATTATTTTATTTTTTTTAAAGGGCTGGGCTTCATAGGATACATCATAAATCAGGCTTTTCCGTACCCGATAAGTTTCCAATCAAGATGCTAAACGCCCCCAAACTGCCTTGGCGTACCACTTTTGAAGGGGACGGTGTGGGGACATATCCTATGCGTACCCGTACCGTACCCGTCCCCGATACGTTTCGGGTACAGGAGACGGCACCTGATAGGCAAATCCGTGCATCCTTGAATACAAGTATCAAATTTTACTTAATCTCAAAGCACCAAGTCTTTTTTTCTCCGGTTTATAACATCCAAAACAGCTAGCAGAGTAATAGGCTAATACAGTCAAAATAACTCCTCCAAAACAGTTAAAACAAGAGCTCCATTACAAGCTAAGTTAGCTAACAATCACTTTTGCTCCAAAAGATGATGATTGCAAATCCCATCCAACTTAGGGTCCAATTTGGATCCATCAAGTCACATTATTCCTTGATAA